GGGTCAAGGTGTTTAAACTGCCTGGCCAGTGACACAAAAGATCCAGAGTCCAGACCACATGACAAGTGATATGCTAAGGCAGGAAAGGTTACCTGGGGGTGAGGTTCTTGTTTTCCCAGTTTTGTTCCTTGCTAGGCATCTGGAGCTTTCTGTGCTGATGAGTTTCTGTACCTGGCCCATCTTCATCGTTCTGGGGGTCTCAGGGTTTACAACCCACTCTCCCTCCCCCAAGGATTTTTGGCAATGATTTTTTTTTTCAGGGAAGAAGCGGTGTCATATCTCTTCTATAACTGCTTTCTGCTGAAAAGGAATGACGTTTCCCTTCAGAGCTAAAAATTGTTGCTCTCTGTCAGAGGGACCATGAGACCTGGGCACAGAAAGAGGCTGTGATGGTGTCAGTATAAGTGGAAAGAGTTAATGGAGAATTAGGTAGTTAGGGTAAGGCAGTGGTTCTCAACCTTTCTAATGCCGCAACCCTTTAATACAGTTCCTCCTGTTGTGGTGACAACCATAAAATTATTTTTGTTGCTACTTCAAAACTGTAATTTTGCTACTGTTATGAATTGTAATGTAAATATCTGTGTTTTCTGATGGTCTTAGGCCCTACAGTAGTGGTTCACAACTTGTGGGTTAAATTAGAGTTATGAAGTAGCAACAAAAATAATTTTATGGTTGGGGGTCCCCACAACCTAAGGAACTGTATTAAAGGGTCTCAGTGTTAGAAAGGTTGAGAACCACTGGGGTAAGGGATTGAAGGAGGAGAAATGGTAGAGTTTGCTGAAACAAACAAAGGATGTGTTTTGCAGGAAATAGGATGTTTTTTCTTAGAAGTGAAAAAGAACAAGGTTGCAGAAAGGTCAGGAACCAATCAGAGAGCAGCACAGATGGACAAAGAGCAGGCTTTTAGCAGCTATAAGGGGAAGAGCAGAATGCTTTTATGGCAACCCATTTGAATCTCCCTCCCAAGGAGCCACCCTGTGTTTGCAATAAATTCCTGTCTTGTTTGAACATCTCTGGTCTGCGGCTTCATTCTTTAATTCCTTGAGACAGCACCCAAGGAGAAATTTCTGCTCTCCAGTTCCAGTATCACAAGTAGGACTTATAACCTGGTGGAGACAAACTATGGAGCAAAAGCTGGAATGACAATAATAATAATAAATAGTATGGTGGAAGGAAAAAGTTCCGGTTGCTAATTCCAAGTCAAAGGATGAGAGGAAAATGAAACATTAATTTGGAGGGTTATAGCCAAATATTTAAGGAAACAAATAAACAAAACAAAACAATGACAACAACAACAAAAAACACTTCAAGGATTTAGTTCAGTTTAGCTCCTGTGAAAAATAAATTGAAGAAAATGAACTGGAGTCTAACATTTACAACCGTATATATGGAGCCTATTGAAATATAATTTTCCCCCTAAAGTCATCCTCATTTTTATTGAAGAGACAAAATAAGAACAATTCATTTACTATATTGTCTAGTTACAAGTAGGCCTGATTATTTGCATGAATACAATAAGATTTACATGGGCTTTTAAAAACCTGCTTTGCTGGAACATCATCATTAAGTTTTAATTATTGATAGCTCTTCAGGGCAAAGTACTGAGCCACCTGGCTGACATGAGGTTTTTCTGCAATTACTGTAGATGTGGGTGAGTTTCTTAAGTTCTTGAGGTCCCCAATGATGTCTTGAGGTTCTCTTCTTGCCAGCTTCCAAGAAATTAACCTTTGTGCCTTTCCTGTAAAGACTGACATGAACCATGTGATCAAGCAAAGCACCAGGCTTTTTCTTGCAAGTGGCTTTTGATTGGCTTTGAACAGTTTTGAGAATGGTTTCTGGTAGTGCCTAGAGTTCAGGCACATCCTATTCAGACATGACATTCCACAATTGGAAACTGGTCTCATTGAACTCATGCAAAGAAACGTATTGCCATGACTCATTCATTAAGAACTGCCAGATTCAGGAGGGATCAAGTAAGGAGAAAAATATAAAAGCTTTCATTTTGTTGATGAAGGCATAATTTACCAGATTTTTCTAGGGAAATACAAATAAGCTTCTTTATATCTGGAAGACAGAAAGATTTCCAAATAACTAATCTTTTGTCCTGATTAGTTGCCAGAATTTTATGTTTTTAGTCATTTATCAAGAGTTCTATAATTTTTCATTTGGCCATCAAAATGAAAGGTGAGATGGCTGTTTAGCATGGTCATGCACAGGCAGGCTACCAAATAGCCATCTCAGACACTGATTTAAAAAATTAAATTTCTGTATGGGAAGGGGATATCCAAAGGAAGGACTGCACAATGCCATGCCAAGGGGATGTTGTGTCGATGATGGCAGCACCCAGACCCTGGAGTTTCATCTTTATATGCAGTCACTGGCAGGAAACTTGTCTTCAGTGGGTTTCGGTGCTAAGGTGAACTTGGAATGCGGATGGAATGTACGTGTGTAGTCAGGTATCTTCAGGACAGTTTCCATTCCTTATATGGTCTGACTCCTGGTGTCCAGCAAGCTTTTCCTGGTCTTTAGTTCGCCTATCGCAGGATCTTACGAATGACCTTTAAGGATTGCATTGCCCTGCATTCCTAACAGAAGCTACTGGTACGTGATGGAGGGTTCATTTTTTTCTCCCCTGAGGGCTTTGTTTTTCTCTCTTACATGCAGCCATATACAGTGCCCCTGAGTGCCCATTTCGTGTCTGTGTCTCCCTGTCCACCAAGCACAACCCTTTAGTCTCCACACCAACACCATTAAACCCTTATCCAATTGATCTGCATTTCATGGGTCACTTGGTATCCATAGCAAGTGAATGTGGGTGGGGAAACTGAGCTGTAGGCAGCTAGTGACACGCCCTGCCCCTAAGGCTTTGTCTTAGATCTTCATAAAGGTATTGCTCAACTGCACCCAGTGAGATTGCTCTTTTGGGAGCATTGAACTCAGTGTGTTTTTTCTCTCCGGAATAACAGGTCACCAACAGCAAGCGCTGGGAAAGAGGAGCAAGGGAGACTTAGCCGCTGGAAGAACTAGGTGAGTATACTTAATCTAATGGTTTCTATGGGTATCTCAGGGATGCTGGTAAGGTTTTTCTGCCAAATGAGACTTATGATAACTGTGGGTGTGAGGATGAGCCCATGGCAGGGTTTATTGTACTAACTTTTGAGGGTCTGCTAAAAAAAAAAAAGAAAGAAAGAAAGAAAGAAAGAAAGAAAGAAAGAAAGAAAGAAAGCAAGAAAGAAAGGAAATTCAATCTTTTTAGAAACTTTGCTTTCAGCCTTGACAGACCCTGATCAGGGACCCCAGCCATTGCAGACTTCTGACCTACAAAGTCAGTAGCTAATAAATGAATTCTGTTTGAAGCTGCTAAATTTTATAACTTCTAATACAATGTGATTTCCTTTAAGGAAAATCTATGTAAAGACTTTGCAGCCAGAGAGACTGTTCAAAATCTCTGCTTCATAGGATCCTTAATTAGAAATAATGAAGCTTCTTTATCTTTAGTTACCTTCTCTATAAAACAAGAGTAGTACTATATTTATTATCTCCCGCCACAGAGTTATAAAAAAAAATTAGAGATCATGTGTATAAAGATCTGTGAGAGCAGCTTAGAAACAAATTACAGTGAAAGAGACATGATACTAAGTTACTTACTAAGTTACTCAGGGGTAGCTGTTGTAATATAACTAATAAATGCTGTCACTGTTGTTTAGGAACTTAGAATAAGGTGACCAGATCGTCCAGGTGTTGCGGGATAGTCCTGATTTCTAACAATTTTTCCCGCGTCCTGCGGCGTTTTAAAAAAGTCCCAATTTTTGGAAAGATTGGAAACATTGGAAAGATTCTTTCCAAAAAACGGGACTTTTTTAAAATGCCACGGGACGCGGGAAAATTTGTTAGAAATCAGGACTGTCCAGCCAACACCTGGACGACCTGGTCACCTTAACTTTGAACCTTATAGAGAGACATCCATGGGGGTAATGTATTTTAATAAATATATATGTATCGGTTTATGGCATTGAGGAGAAAGGACAAGTAGTGTCTGAAGAATAGGAAAATAGATTAAAAATCCAACCTGATAAAATGTCTCAAAGAATGGACTCTCTCAGATGGGAGATTCACGTCTGCATGGTAAGTCATTTTAGAATATTCTAGAGCTGAGAGCCCTACCAACATGGCCAATCCCCAGAGGTGCTGACTTCTTGAGTATTTCTGAGGATGTCTTCAAATGTATTTGTTACGCTACCTTTGTGGAATTCTGTGAGTCATCACCTTTACCTAAGGTTTATTTAGAAGTTGCTTCCCAATATGTTACTCACCTCACTTTAACTTTTCCTCTAAATTTCCTGCACGAAACATAAGAGTGCTAAATCCAGGTGAAATGTAATGTGGAATAAGCAAAATAAATTTAACTTACTTTGTGTCTCTAAAAATATAAAAGAAAGAAAATTTAAAAACAAAACCAGAATTCACAAGTGACCTAGAACACTGAGCAGCATGAGTTCCCCAGTGCATATACTTAGCCCTGGCAATGGGCTTCCTTGGAGGATAGGATCCCCATTTAACAAATACTTAATGACTGGGAACTAGGGGAATTCCTGCCCACCCTCCCAGCCTCAGTTCCGAAGAAATGGAGAGAATTTGTCACTGTTCCTCTGGAGACTCTCCAGCTCTGCAATGTTTAGGTACCACTTTGTACAAAGCGCCCGCTAGATATAATGAGAGATACAAAGTGAAAAACGACACAGCCTCCATAGTTCTTGTCCACTTTGGGCCTCAGTTTTCTCACCTGGAAAACTGGCCACGTGAAAGGATTCAAGATGTATTTGGAAAGCAGTGACTGTGTATGTGCCCTCTAATTGCTATCTAATATCTCTAAAACAATAAACCCATAGGGGATTTATTTGCTAAAATGAGTTAATGGAAGCAAAAGTCTTATTTCAATGTAAACATTAAAAATGCTTATGTGAGGGGTGATTCTACTACATTTATATCTTTTTAATATCATGACTTTAGCAGGCCCCACAGCCAATTCTGTGTTTGTGATGGCACCTCACAACAGGTATCCTGTGCTCCTGGGAAGCATGTCTCAGATTCCTGTGACTCCACTTAACCAACCCCAAGTCCAACAAATTCCTGGGAACCCACCTGGTTTGGAGACACGCCGGTCTCTGCAACCTGGCAGGAGATCCTTAAAAGAGGGAAAAGTTTTGGGGGTAAGTGAGATTTTGGGGGTAAGTAAGTTTTGGGGGTAACTGCGTGCACTGGCCACGTGGCTGGAGTCAGGGGTGGGAGGAGGTTTGGAAATACAGAATCTCCAAATCCAGAAGGTGGGGCTGGAGCTGACCCAGCCTTGCCAAACTCAGCTCTATTTACTCAGCATCACCAGGGCCTCTGGGTGGGACCTTGTATTATCTATCTTGGACATTTTAGGAGAGAGAAAGAAAAGCAACAAAGAAGCAGTAAATTGGAATGTTGGTCCTGTTGTCAGAATTCATGTTGACACATGTGGCCTCTGGAAGAAAGTGAGTCCAGAAGGTGGCTTCCAAACCCAATGTGCTTGAATGGAATCTCTCTCCAATGGGAACAAAATAAGAGCTCATGATGATTTCCCCCCCAAAGGGTGTCCTGGATGGGACAGGGGAAAGCCCACTTCATTACATGGGTAAATGAATATATGCATGGATTCTGATTCAGGCTGTCCAGGTTCAAATCCTAGCTTTACCCCTATTTACTGCTCATATCAATGTCAATCAATACAACCTGAATGAAAGGCTTTCTGTATCTGCCCACTTTTAAAATACATAGTAATTCCATTTCTGAGACTTGTCTTATAAATATATCTGTACACATAAGAAATATGACATGTATGAGGTTATTTATTGCAACGTGGTTTGTGATGGTGAAACTGGCTCAAACGACCCTCAGGTTCTTTTACTTGCTGCTGTGAGGCCAAATACAGGACACCGTTGCTAATGGAAGGAAAGTGATTTATTTAGGTACTGACTACCTGAGAAGATGGCAGGCTCATGTCTTAGCAACCATCTTAATGTCTCAGAGAGGCAAAAGGTTTTTATAGACTGATCGTGGACAGAAGTGTAGTAAGGAATGCTGATAACATTAGTTTTTTTTTTTTTTTTCAGCTCTCATGTGGGTTTGATGCTCTCTTTAATGTCTGTCAGCATCTGCTATTTTTTCTCTCTGGGTTTTATTTCTGGGGATAAGATATTGCAGGCCTGGCCAGCCATCAGCATCTATTATACATATATGGTAGAAAGCAGTACAGGGGAGTTGGAACTGCTTCTGTCTATAACATGCTTAAATATAAAATTATTAATATTTTAGACTGTAAGTTTTATTAGTATATCTTACTTTCAATCTTTGATTAGTTGGTCAATTAGACATGAGTTGTTGTTTTTTGTTTGTTTGTTTTTAAATATCCTATATCCTATACCCTGCTATAATAGGAAAAGAATGGGGATAACCAAAATATTTATCAACATAATACTGGTTAAATCAATGTATTATCCAGCCTTAGAGACAAAGGTCTCAGTTTTTGTCTCTCCTGACAGGTTATCCAGATCCTGACTGGCCTGATACATATTAGCCTGGGCATCATCATGGTGACCATCATGCGTGGGCCCTACACCACTTTCTCATTCTACGGAGGCTATCCCTTCTGGGGAGGCATCCTGGTAAGTAACATAAGTCACCCTGTGAATGAGTACCAGAAGTGCCAGCACACTGGCAAGTTATGTACTTTACTGCATAAGTTTTTTAGCCAAGAGAGCATGTTGGCTGTTAAACCAGCTCAGGCCTTGTTCACCAAAAACTTTAGTCCATGTGGGAAGCCAGAACAAATACCACAGACTTGGTGGCTAAACAACAGACATTTGTTATGTCATAGTTCTGGATGCGGGAAGTCCAAGATCAAGGTGTGGAAAGGGTTGTTTCTCCTGAGGCTTCTCTCTTTGGAGTGTAGATAGTTGTCTTCTTCCCACTGTCTTCACATGTTTTCCCTCTGTGTTCATTTCTCTTCTTATTAGAACACCATTCAAATTGTTTTAGGGACCAACCATATGACCTCATTTAACCTTAATTATCTTCTTTATTTAATTTTTTAAAATAATTTTTATTGGGATGGCATTGGTCAACATGAACACATAGGTTTAATTTGTGGATTTCTAAGTTATAAAATCTGTATATAGCCTCATGTGTCCACCACCCAAAGTCAAATCTTCTGTCACCTCATATAGCATCCTCTTCTCCCCACTCCCCTTCCTCTGGCAACCATGACACTACTGTTTTTGTTCATAAGTTTCAGTTTTATATCCCACATATGAGTGAAATAATATGGTTTTTAGCTTTTTCTGTGTAACTTATTTTACTTAGCATAATGTTCTCAAGGTCCATCTATGTTCTTGTAAATGACTCTATTTCATCCTTTCTTACTACTGAGTGTTAATCACCTTCTTAGAAACCCTATCTTCAAATACAGATGCTCTTCAACTGATGATGGGGCTACATCCCCAAAAACTCATGATAAATTGAAAATATCCTGAGTAAAAAATGCATTAAGTACTACACTATAGAGAAAGGGTAGTTTAGGCTAGTGATTGTGTAGCTGACAGGGAGCTGAGGCTGGCTGCTTCTGTCCAGCATCACCACATATAACTCACCCAGGAAAATATTTAACTTCAAATCCAAAGAACAGTTTCTACTGAATGCATATCATTTTCACACCATTGTAAAATAAAAAAATCACAAGGCAAACTATAGTGAGTCTGAAAATGTCTATACAGTTTTTTTGAGGTCCTAGGGGTTTAGACTTCAAAAGATGGATTATGAGGAGACAAAATTCAGTTCATATACCAAGTGACAGCCCTGTAAAGTGCCATTGCCTCAAAGCAGGCAGATTCCTAATTAGCCCACCTCAGAGGTTAAGAAACCTTTTCCTAGCTCATCAGCCCAGCGCTCAAGTGTTGTTGGACTCAGGCTCAGAACTGGTGCTCCAGGAGAAAAACACTTCCACCAGGAGTTAAGATTGGCTGCTCAGCTACAGAACAGACATTAAGCATTAGGAACTCAACCCAGAGTCCTTTGATGGGCTCATAGTCCATCTTGTAGCAAAATATTTGGTATATTAGATGTTTGGTTTTTTTTCTGGAAAAGTCCATGTTTTTATCACATTTTCAGGGTGATCTGGAACCTCTTGAAAGGTTAAGAACCAGAGGTCCTTTCTCTTTCTAATGTATTGCCTTTATGATTGTTTTCTACTCTTCTTAGTGTCTTCCCACTACCAAAGGCACGTACACACATACACTCCAATCTCTCTCCCACCAACCATGTCCTTCTCTAAATGCCAAAACACAGTTTTTCTCTCTAATCACTTATCTGTGACCCAAGGCAACTTTTCTCATAAATAGCAAAACTACAGAGTAATCTGGACATCAGCCAAGTCACCATACACTGAGCTTTAAATAAAAATAGCCTAGAGTCATCCACCACCCTCATACACACACAACATCTGCAAATGACAGGGCTTAGATTCTTGGGGGCATTTTTGTCCGAGTACCTGCTCTTTCTTGTTCCCATTCTTGTCTCATCTTCTGAGGCTGAGGTCTTCTCTTTCTGTTCAGCACAGACCCAGACTTGGAACTCAGTCAACCATAGACACCTGTGTGTATAAACAGACTTCTGTGGAGTTTGGGGAAATGGAGAAGACTAACACCCCAATCACAAAACAGTTCCTATTGAGTGTTAGATTCTCTTAAGTCATCTCAAAGGCCTTGCTGGCCATCTCCCCTTCCACCAGGCTGCTCAAGTCCCATCACCCTTATGACACCACTCTCCCTTTTTTCTACAGGACACTTTTGCTCTTTGTTGCCTTCTTGACTCCAGGACTATTTCCTAAAGGTCATATGGTCCTCCTCCAAACCAAAGGCCATCTCCTTAGGTATCTCAAAAGGACCAGCAGGGACATCAGAAGTCCAGCCTTCTGTTTCTTTCCTTCCCCTTCAAGTCTGTATAAAAAGAAAGACATAATGGTTCATATTTATTTTTTCATTTATAGGAAACATGGCATTTCTCTTAGAAGGTACAGGTGGCTAGAGTAAGTTTTCATTGTGAATATCAATTTCCATTCCCTGAAGTAGAATGAGTTTAGGATGAGGGTTACAAACATGAGATCTGGGGTCAACTACCTGGATTTGAATCCCAGATATACCATTAGCTGGATGGTCTTGGGTGTGTTATTCAAAATCTCTAAGCCTCAGTCCACCCCTCTATAAAATAGGAATAATAATGGTGCTTGATGGGCCATCATGGAGTTAAGTAAGGCAAAGTTAAAAGTAGTTCAGGTAGGACGTAGCAAAGCTTCCATTAAATCATAGCTGATGCCCTCTCTAACCTTCACTGACAGCAGAGAATTCCATCAGCCACTATGTCAGCAGAACATCAGTGTTGAAATAAATCCAAACATTCAACCCGTTAGCCCTCATAGTTGAGGACTAAGATGCATCATTCTTTGGAGTAACTAAAAGATACATTGGGCTGATATTTCAGCAGTGAAAGTGTGTGAACTCCTTCCTTCTTCCCTCCAGAGCCCCTGTGCCTGAGTGAATTGTTTTGGGAGGTCAACAAGATGTGCCTGTGTGGGAAAAAAAAAAAAAGGCAAGAAAAGAAGTAATTGTATTGAGTATCTACCATGAATAGGATCTACCATGAATAGGCAAGATATACCAAATGCTAAAAGCAAGGGACAAATTATCTCATGATAATAACACTTAGGAAGACATACAGTTTTCCTCATTTTTTGAAGAGGAAATATACATTAAGAAAAATTAGTAACTTACATAAGATCACATGAGTTTCAAGTTAGAGTTTAAAAACTGGCATACCGGATTATATATTTATCCCTAGTCACTGCCCTGTCCTGTGGTACAAAATAGCCCTTCTTTCCTTCCTTCCTTCCTCCTTCCTTTCTTCCTTCCTTCCTTAATTTACTTATTTTCCCTAAATTGAGTATGAGATCACAGCAGAGGATCCTAGCATGTGTGAGAGAATATGTGTGTGACCAGAAGCATGGAGCCTGAAGGTGGGGCCCTGACCACTGACTTTTTTCTAAACTCCCTCTCTTTTGTGCCAGTTCATCGTTTCAGGATCCCTCTCAGTGGCATCAGAGAAGCTACCAAGATATCCTTGCCTGGTGAGTCATATTCTGAGACAGGCTCTCTGAACTGTGAACCTTTAAGAGAGACACACAACGGGGGAAAGGAGCTTACACACAATGCCTCCTTCATCCTTGCACCTATACCTACTTATAACCACATACAGGGCACTGACATGCATGTTCACTCATACTCACTTACAAGACCATGTGAATCTGGACAGAGTCACAAATGGGAAAAGAGTCCAAGAAGATTCGGTGGAAGGAAGGGTAGCTTCAGGGTATGGAGAGACAGAGAGAATAACTTTCCTAAAAGGATCTTACAAGAGGAGAAAAAAAAAAAATTACCAGGGGCGCAGGGCTCTCCTCCAGCAGAGCAGGCACTGACTGCCTGCAGCACACAGAGCCCAGTGCCAGAAATTTCTACAGGGAAGCAAGGGGAAGCTCAAGCAGCAGCTTCCCAAAAGAATCCTTTCAAACAAATTCTGTGAATTAACATGGGAAAAGCTTGCTGGCCCCAAGTGTTGGACCAAGAGAGTACCATTATTTCCACAGGATGGCCTAGTCCCACACCAGATGAGGTCTATTTAAAAACTCCACAGGGAAGACCAATTCTGGGCATGCCTTTCTGCACATGGACCAGAATCATGGAGCATTAGAGTTGGTCACATCCCAAAACACTGGTTGAGTCTTCTAGCCATGTCCTGTGGGATGAGTCCAATGATTCCTAAACATTCTTGGGGATACTTGTCCCATGAGATACTTTATGGAGATAGTTAAATAACTTTGGAGGGATCTCTATTTAATAGTCTCCTCTCCAGGGGATTCATATTCCTTGTTAAAGGCTCTGAGAAGTCCTGCACAAAAGACCTAACTTGTGTAACCCAGGTGTTTTCAAAGTTAATTTATCCCCAAGCCTACTGTATTTTGCACAAGACAACTCTTTACTTGCTTGGCATTTAGGGTTCCAGAAATTCAAATTATGAAGCACTTGTTGAATCTCTGCTCATATCAGCTACAATTGTTTTCCTCTCTCATACTGACCTTCTCTGTACCTTCTTCAGCTGAAAATTAGCCTGGGCTTGAATATCGCCAGTGCAATCTGTTCTATGGTTGGAGTCCTGCTCCTCATCACAGAAATGATTATCAACTCCCTAAATAAGAACAAGGACCCCTATCATCACATTGGTGTGGTAAGTATCCCTCTTGACCAATTCTCCTGTGGATTCCAATGTAGCTATCTTTAGGAAATCATTGGAAAAGGCCTGACTCCACCAGGCTTCTTCACTAAGCACCAAAGAAAACAAAGCTCTCTAAATCAGAACAGAGTTTCAAGTCCCTTACCTGTAGCTTTATGGCTATTACTCTAAGCAAGTGACTTTTCTTAAACCTGTTTCCAACTTTATAAAACAATACCTACCTTTTGACATTGTTTGGAGAATTAAATGCATTTATACAGCAGATTCCCACCAATCTGCTCATGTTCCTGCCCATTACTGTGGAGAAAAGGGCAAAGGTGTTTTTAAA